GACTCCAACTCAAAAAAAATAAAATAAAATACTGCCTCTTCACCAATGCTCCTCCTTCCCCCTCCCCTGTTCTCTGTCTCAGCACCCCCATCCCTACAGCCGAAATTTCAAAGGACAATGACATACTGTTTTGCTGATATATAGCTTCCCTCCCCCCCCACCCCCTGGCATGCTCACAGGGAGAGAGACAGGCTTCTCTGCTGCTTGGTGTGCAGTAGGTCCTCAGCACAGTTATGGTGTGAATGAGGGGTGTGTGCCTGCACTCCCTGTGCCTTCCCGGGGCACATCTCCCTCATATCCCACAGGCTTCTACCACCATCTTGGTGCCCTTCCTATCTGGTCATGCTGCAAAATCCAGCCCTGGGCACTTTGGGGGAGCTCTTCCCGAAAATGCCCCCCAACACCTGTGATGAGTAAGTATTGAGTGGTTTGTTGATGCCACTTAACTGTGTACTCAGGGGTAAGGGACCACTAGGGCCACGTGACCCTGCAGTAGCCTGTAAATGACTGCAAAGGATCCCCCAGCCCTCATGCCTGGCTTCGGTGTGATTTCCGTTGTCTCCCTGAGGGTTGGGGTCTGCATTCCTTCCCCTTGAATCTCTGTGAGGCTGTGGCTGTCCTAACAAGTCCAGAACGTTGGAAGTGGTGTGACTTCCCAGGCTAGGCCGTAAAAGGGATCAGCTTCTACGCAGCTCTCTTTTGGGAGACTGTTTGCTCTGTGCATGCCAGCCACCACACTGTGAAGAACCCCCAATTAGCCCACACAGAGAATCCACATGGAAAGGAACTGAGGCCCCAACCAACAGCCAGCATCAGCCACCAGATGTGTGAATGAGTGACAGAGTGAGTCCTTAAACAATCCCAGGCCCCAGCCTTGGAGTCTTTCAATTGAGGCCCAGACACCCTGGAACACAGGCAGGCCCCCACGCTGTGCCCTATGAGTCTCCGCCCTGCGGAATTTGGGAGCAAAATACATGATTGTTTGACACCACTTGGTTCAGGGCTAAATTGGTATGCAGTCACAAAAACTGGACCAGGGTCCCAGGGGTGGCTATAGTCAGCAGGTCCTCACTAGATGTTTGTGGCCAATTCAATGATTGACACAGTCAAGGCTACAGCAATGCAGACTCCAGCACTGAAGATAGTCAGTGTGTTCATAGATCTCTCTGAACACAAGGGCACTTGGGGACCTGTGTCCTTCCGTATTCAGGGTGGGTGGTACCTCCTCCCCTAAAGAACACCCTCCTCACTCACACTGCCAGAAGAGTGCTCCTAGAGTCAAGGGGTCCTCCTGACCACTGCCCTGCCAGTACCCCTCAGCCCAGTTGCACTCAGTGCTAGGCCAGTTCTCAATGATGGTTCTGAGTCCCGACTCCTCCAGTAACCTGCAGGGCACTTTGCTGGTTCTGGCTACCTGCTCTGGGTCAGGGAGCATCAGCCTGGCCCTCTACCATGGTGGGCTTCAGTCAGAGCTCTGCAGTGTAGAGCCCCGGCCCTATCTCCTGCCCTTTACCCAGGCTGCTCTCCTAGCTTCCTGGGCATGGCAGGATTTTGGTGCACACCCACCTCATCTCTGGGGCCAGGAAACCAAGAGGAAGGAAGGGAGAGAGAGTGGGAGGGGGAAGCTGAGGTGGGGTGGAAGGAGATGGGGTGGAAGGAGATGGATAGGGGATACAGCAAAAAGAATTTGAAGTGATGAACAGGGAGGAGAGGGAGGGATGGAAAAGAACAGAGACAGAGCAAGGAGTGGGCAGCCCTTTCCATCCTGGAAGCAGCAACAATTTACTTGAAGTGAGATGAGAGCTTGTTCATGGAGCAACTGAAATGCTTCTCTCCAGACCCACTCAGGCCTCCCTCTGCCTCTCCCTCAGCCCTTGATGCCTTTTAAAGGCTCCGATTAAATAGGATTTCCAGAAAGATTAAGAAGTGAAAACCCGCTCCCTGCTAATCCTTGGCCCTCCTGATTAAAAATTCCATTTCCTGGCTGAATGCAGTGGCTCATGCCTGTAATCCTAGCACTTTAGGAAGCCGAGGCAGGAGGATATCTTGAGCCCAGGAGTTTGAGACCAGACTGGGCAACATAGTGAGAACTTGTCGCTACAAAAAATAAAAATTAGCTGGGCATGGTGGTGCATGCTTGTAGTCCCAGCTCCTTGGGACACTGAGGCAGAAGGATTGCCAGAGCCCAGGAGTCTAAGGCTGTGGGGAGCTGTGATTGTGCCACTTCACTTCAGCCTGGGTGACAGAGTGAGATTCCGACTCAAAAAAAAAAAAAAATCTATTTCCTCACTTGGAAAGAAAAGAAAGGGAAGAGGAGGCACAGCCCCTGCCCACGCGTGATTGAAATGCCAGCGCCTTGGCTCCCTGCCTCCGCCTCTCCTGACGTTGGGGTGTCTTCCTCTATTATCATGACGGGAACCTTCTGATTGCATTAAAATTCATCCACATGTGCATTTCTCTCAGCCGCTTCCCTTCTGCCAGTTTTTTTTTTTTCTGTTCCTTCTTCCTCTCCCCTGAAATCTCCCTCTGCAGTTCTCAGTTGAGCCCTTCCTTCTCACGACTTTCTAAACATTGGGGGCCAGCTGCCCCCTCTTCCTGTCCATGTATATTTCCCCAGGGAAACTACAGTTAACCTGACCTTTCTGGAAGGCTGCAGAAAATAAAGAAACCCGGCTGCAGACTCACCTCCCCGGGGATTCCTGGGTTGACTGCACCCAACTCAAATGCTTGTTTCTAGGAACTTAAATGTGTTCGGTGTGCACCTGCTTCATTTCTGGGTGGGTATTGACTGGAGGGACACTGAGTTTGAGACTGGACTTCCTGGACCAGGCCTACTGGCTCACACCTCAGCACCACATCTCAGTTTTTAGGTCTATAAAATCGGTATGATCAGGCCCTTCTCCTGTGGTCATGGGAGGGTTCCAGGAGCTCCCAGGGTCAATGTCTAAAGCAGTGGGAGGGAGCACACAGGGTTCTGGGGAGCAGGAGTATGACTGCCTTAAAGGGCTGGAAACAGAAGGTGGGTGCTTGTCCCAGCCCTGCCTGGACCCAGAGAGGGCAGCTTGGCTCTCTGTGCCCCGGTGCCCAACTACCATGGGGCAGTGCGCAGGATCCATACTCACCACCCGCCTAAACCAGTTGCTGGGACTGGGGAAGCCAATAAAATAATGGACGGGAGAAGGACCCAGTTTTGTGTCAGATGAAGGTGCTCATACCCCATCAGGATGGGCCATGCCTGACATACCTTAGGTCTACCCTCTGGCCACCCCTTTGTGAGCATTGATTGAACACTTACTATGTGCCTGGAACTAAGCTGCACAGAGGATCTGGGGTGAGTTTTGGGAACACTTCTCAGTTTCTTCTTCAATGGGTTTGTGCATGACTCAAATCCCTGGAGAATCCAGAGTGTTAGGGCCGTGCACCCAGAACCTCTGCCAGGGAGCCTCCAGTGACAGGTGACAGATAAGCCTGGTGGTCTCATCCAGTAGCTCTGGACTGCTGGCCAGAATGGGCTAGATGGGGGAGGGGGCATGGCTACACCCTGTAGGCTTCTAGGAGAAGGTGGGCTGGAGTTATGATATGCAGAGGACAGATGTGAGGGACTACAGGCTCACACCAGAATTTGAGCAAAGACAGAGAGGTGGCTGCCTCTTTCACCTCCTCCCATGTGGTCCCTTCCTGTGGTAGGGCTGGCAAGAAGGGGACTGGGGGAAGACTGACTTTGCTTTTTCCGGCTGCCTCCTGCATGCTCTCCCTCCCACTAACACAGATGTTGCCCACTCCTCTGGCCTCAGGAATCTTTTTGCTCCCAGAATCCCCATCGAACTCTGAGCTTTGGCTTCTATAATGAGACAGCGGTGCGACAGATGCTTAGGGAAGGACAGGGGAGTCTGGTTGTCCCACTCATCTCTCCATGAGGGAGGCAATGACGCCTGTGCTCATTCACCCAAAGGTGTCAGGGCAGAATGGGGCTCAGGCTGGGAGCATTTTCATTTTAAGAGGAGAGCCCAGGACACAGAAACAGTGCACCCATAGTGGGACTTCAAGATGAGGACAGGCCCCTAAGGGGGTGTTTCAGGT